TGAAAGAGGCCATCCTGTTTCTGAAGGGGTGATTTCTATGCCAATAAAAATTATGAATCCGATTTATTTCGAACCTTAGTTTGAAATCTTGTTTTTTTGTTTTATGTTAAAACGAAAGAAAATTATGTTTCAGTTCATATCTTTGCAGTCGTTTTATTTTATAGGATTATTTATGCAGGTTTTGGGGGTTGATTTTCATTTAAAATCTGTAATCTATCCATCCATCCATCCATTATCTTACACGCTTGTCCCAATTGGGGTCGCGAGGGGTGCTGGTGCCTATCTCCAGCAGTCAATGGGCGAGAGGCGGGGTACACCCTGGACAGGTTGCCAGTCCATCGCAGTCTGTAATCTATTATAAGTTAAAAATTTTCCCTTCAAAGTACAGAAGTTGTAAATGATTTAATGTGAAGCTTAAAAGATAAATAGAAAAAGGGTGGATAAATTAAGCTTTGAGAGTTTTTGGGTAAAGGTGAAACTAAAAAAAAAAAAAAATGTCTCTACGCTCAAGTGTTGGTCTACATGAGTCAGATTGATCAGCTAAAAGGTAAACCAGCGCAACTTAGAGTAGTGATGTAAAAATTTGGTTGAGAAAACGGTTACACAACTAATGAAGATCTTTATGGAAAGTATGGATGAATGTGATTATATTATTATTAATTATACTTCAAAGATATAAATATATTAAACTTTTGTTTTAACTATTTCAACTATTCTATATTGATAAAAGCCTGCTAAAATAGTCTGACTAGCTGTTAGCCATTCTCCTCTTGCTGAGGTCAGAGTATTTTAAAAGACACTCAAAACAGTAAGACAGTATACTTATTAGATGTAAAGGTTCTGCTCTACTTTAGACTGCAGCTTCAAACTTCTCAGGTTCTAAAAGAAATAAAGTAGCCTGATAAACCAGACTAAATGTGAGATTAAATGTGTAATTTAGTCTGGCCCCGATGAATGAGACATCGGAAGATTGTTGATGAGAACAACCCGTTATCTTTCAAACCATGTCTGTGCCTATTGGCCAACGCTCTGATCAATGAGCACAACTGACTGTGACGTAGTAAACGCGAAAGAAAGCTGGTGAGGGAGTGTAAACAAACAGCCTGTCGGTAAAACGGTGAATACGTCCTTCTTAAAAATGTATGGGCGTAGAGCCTCTTCCTGCTCACGTTTCAACGAAAACCCCAAATCTAATCCTTTCAAAACTGATTCCAAAGCTGAGTAAACGAGAACTGTTCAATAGTTGTTGCCATCTTCCTTGTTGTGCTTTCTCCTGCATCACGCAGCTTTGTCGTCACGCCCTCAAACCCCCGCCCGCTTTGCACCCAGAAATTCAAAACACATCTCTGTGTTGTGATTGACCAGCTAGTTCTAGGGCCTGGGGCATCGTTTGAGGCTAGACCACTCGCAGGCAAAAATGATTTTGCCTGCTGGTGGGTGGGGTTACTTTACTAGGCTAGAAATAAAGCTTATTCTCAGAGGAAGTAACCCACAAACCAACAGCTTACGTGGCGGTTGTCAAATACCAGAGGATGCACGCTTGTGCTCTGAGAAGGTTACAAGCACCTGTTTCGATCGACACAGCCTGCACTCTGGGCCCATGTGCAAGGCCCTTAAACGGCTGGTTAAACTCCCGCAGCAGTCTGTAGCAGTGAGCTTGTTGCAGATATTTTTGATTTATGCCCAATTTTGAAGCGTGTTCTGCACTATGTTATTCCACGCCACAATGTAAGAGGGACAATCAGGAACTAGCTGTGGGTGTGGATACGGCCAAGGCGGTGAGGAAGTTGCCGAACATTGCCGAACAATGGCAGCCCACTGCTCCCCAAGGGGATGAGTTAAATGAGAGCTCATTTTGTTGCTCTGTACTTGTGACAGTGTAATGTCAATAAAAGCTGGAAAGAAAAAAAAATCTATCTCCAATCTGTGACCTTAAGGTGGTTTTAATGGTTTAATGCATAATTGGGTTCCTGTGGCATCAGATGATTCAGTCTATGTTGGAAAAATATAGTTTTGTGAAGAAATAAAGGTATCTTCAGGACAACTATGTAAACATGTCACTCATAATCTCTTTTAACCCTTTTTCACTAGCCGAAAAACCCCTTTTAACCCGCGAACAATCGACTTTTAGTGGCAGTGGAAACTTTTCAAACTTTAAAGTTTCAGTGCGTCTCTGTGAGTTAAGTTCTAACCTGAGAGTTTTTAGTTCTACATCAGATATAGAGCAAATTCATCTTTAAATGCTGATTTCGACATTGTTGATGCTGATCAGACGACAGGAGATAATAGGGAACTTCCTGCTCTGACCGCTCCCCTAATGTCTTCCTTCATCTCTCTTGATCTCTGTTCTTTTCTCTGTTTTTCTTTTCTGTTTTTCTTTTCTCTCATCTTTCAATAGCCTGTTCTTTCTTTTTATTCATCTTTTTTCCTCTGTCTTCATCTGGAGCACCATGGACATGCTGGTACATGTCCGGCCACTTCCTTCTTCTCTTTTAAAAGTAGGGTTCTGTTTTGTTTAAAAATAAGCGATAATAATCTCAAATTTCTTTTCTTCCGGAATCTTCTTTTGCTCTGATTTGCTGTTTTCATCCTGGTTTCATATCCTCTAAGATGGTGTGGATAAGGGACACCTGTTGTAGGCCTTCAATGCTCCTGGGTTTAGAGGCGCGTGATCACAGAGCAGGCCCGGGTGTTTGGATGAAGAGCAAACTTTAAAGGGTTGAGAAGACAAAGCAGACCAGAGAAACAATGGGGACAAATAGTAAAGAGGATCCGCTGGACTTGTTGGTGTGCAGAAATCTTTTATTTAAGGTGCTTGTCATGGCTGTAAAAAAAAAAAAAAAAGAGTCTTTTATCTGAAGCTGTAAGTTGAAACTTAAACAATCTGCTCCTTGTTTGGGTGTGGTTATGTTGGGATTACCACACCCAATTATTGAGGGATTCATGTCTTCAGTCTTGTAGCTAAAAAAAGCTCCTTTAAAAAAAACAAAATCCAAAAAATCTCTTTTTGTTTTGCTTTGAAGGAGGTGAAAGGAGAAATTTTAAATTGAGATCTCATTGAACACTAAAGTGGAAAAGTTGCTTCCTTTTAACCCACAGTTTTTCACAATTTAATCAAACTGATGTTTTATTCCTTCCGATCTGCTGAGTACAAGGAATTTCCACTTAAAGCTAATAAAAATAAGTTAGGATTATAATATTAAAATTAATATTTTAAACATAATATTTTAAACATAATCTTACCTGGGAATTGGGACACCCCTCGCTGCATAGTTGCCGTTCTGGTATGTAAACAACTGCATATTTATCAGGGCTGAAACAATTAATCAGATTAATCATGATTAATCGACTTTTTTTAATAATCCTAAACCAATTTAGTTATCGATGAATCATAAACTGGAGTGTTGAGACTCTAAAACATGCCTTTATCTGACAGAGCAACCCACTTAGAGCTGTAATTACACCAAGATTGTAAGAAAGAAAAAAAAACATTTCGTATTTAAGATAAATATGCTTTTTCCAGAACTCATCAAGCGGAAAAGGTTTTTGTTTAACCTAATTTATTTTCGTAAAAAGTCTTCCTCAAAGAATCGTTGTCTATCAGATTATTGGTCAATTACTCACCAGATTAATTGATTAGCAAAGTTATTGTTAGTTGCAGGCCTAGTATTTGTGTATGCACATATATAATATACACACCCCCGCCTTTCTAAGTCCAAGTCTCACACTCCCACAAACTGCTATTTTGGGTCCCTGAGCAAGACCCTTAACCCCAGACTGCTCCCCGGGCGCCGCACAGCAGCAGCCCACTGCTCCCCAAAGGGGACGGGTTAAATGTAGAGAGGGAATTTCCCCATTGCGGGACAATAAAAGAGATTTACATATAAAAGAGGAGACTTGGCTTTTTAATAAAATAAAACATTGAACAAGTGGATTACGTTGCGCTTGGTTAACTGTATCAGATATTGTTTTGTCTGTAAAGGTGTTGATTAAATACAGCTGACAAAATTCTAGTGCAATATATATGATAATTACAAAACAATAGGTAGAATTACACAGTTCCTGGTTGTCTTTTTTTTTTGAAGATGGAGAAAATAATGTTGACAAAGGATGCAGTGGACAAAAATTTTAAGAGGTCTTTAGGTGGCTTTTAAAAAAGTCGTTTTGGTTAACCCCTAGAAGGACTGTTTCGTCTCCTACCTCCACCGTCCAGCTCTTGTCTTTCTTTCTGTCCAGCAGGCTGTGCTAATCCTCCACTGCTCTCCTTACATCTCCAGCAGTTAGCCTAGAGGCTAGCTCCATCCAGCCGTAGCCCCTATTTGCTGCCTCCGTTCTCCGTTCTTTTGCGATGTTTCCCCGGGGAGCAAATCCGATCTCCTGCTGAGGGGAGCTCTAGAGAGGCTGGCAGCCTTCCGTTTTTTGGTGATATCTCTGCCGGTGTTCTCGTGCTGATTTCCTGATGCTCCTTTCTCAGCTCCAAAACAAAAAAAAAACTGCAAGTCGTTCCCCAAAATCCCCATTCAATGGATGGCAAATCAATCCATCTGTTCATTTTCTATCTGTTCATCTCTCTGTCCATCAATGAGGATCTACAATATTAGGATTTTAAATTTAATATTATTAGAAGTGTTGTGTTAAGATGCATTTGGCAAAAAACAGAACTTTATTAGTGTATAAAAACAACAATATATAATTTATTCTCTATCCTATTTACCTTAAAAGTAACATCCAGCTGTCAATTTTTCTTTTCACATCTCCATCCTCATTCTTAAAGCCGTAGTTACTTAATGACTGTAGTTTTTGCAATTTCCTTATAAAAACTCTGACCACTTACAAATTGACAGTGTTTTGTAATATTTATGTTAATAGGAGGATAAAAATGCTCGGTAACCAAGTCTGGAAATCTAAATCTGGAAAATCAAACGTATGTTGGAGCCCTGTGTAATAGCTGCATCCGCCCACAGGCTCAGTGAGTATTCTCTCTCTCTCTCTCTCCCCAGGTTGCCAGCGTCAGGTCGGCCTGTCCAGAGGAAAGGCAAAGGTTTGCTGCTACAGTGGCTGGTACTACTGCCAGAGCTGCCATCAGGATAACTCTTTCCTCATCCCTGCACGACTGCTGCACAACTGGGACACCAGTAAGCACAAGGTGGGAGACACACACAGCTAGCCTGGCCTTGTCCCGAAGTAAAGAAAAACTGAAGGCATGTCTAAACCAACATGCTGCATCCTGTCTTCGTGATCTTTACAAAGCTTAGTCTTTATGTTTGGCTTTTTAAAACCTACTTTATCCCATACATGCTTGGAAAGTACAGCTTGTGTGGGATTATGTTTAATGTATCCGCAGTGCTTGGAGCAAAGATCCAAATATAAACACTTGTGTGCTCCTGCAGGTGTCTAAACAGGCCAAGGAGTTCCTGGAGTTTGTGTATGAGGAGCCTTTGCTGGATATCCAGCAGCTCAACCCCTGCCTGTATGAACACTGTGAAGCTTTGAGCATGGTGCTGCGTCTCCGTCAGCAGCTCCAGTCGCTGAGGGCCTACCTGTTCAGCTGCAGGGCAACCATCGCTGAAGACCTCAGGCGAAGGTGGGTCGGTTTCCGTTTTTTTTTTTTTTCGTCAAAAGTTTAGAAATGATCACATCATCCTCTCCTTTCAAAAGCAGCTGTGGATAATAAGTGTTGTGTGCTTCAAACTAAATCGCCACCTGGTTTTAAGAAAACAAACAGGTAAGAAGGCTCCAGTTGGAAGAAACGTTGCATTGATTAATATGTGTCAGCTGGTAAAAGGCTACGTAATCCTGAATGATGCAGTGTGCAGCTGCTCTTTTCTTTAAACAACCTGAAATAAACATCCTGAGGCTGTGGAAGCAATATATATAAATGAGGCCTTTGGAACAATCTATGTCAAAGTAGTTTGAATATACATTAGAATATAGAAGACCTGACCTAAAGAAGAACAAATGATTGGGTCTATTTAGTCTGGGTTAAGAAGTGATGTAAATATGGAAGGACGAGTGTGAATAACTGTCATCTTAAATAAATTACCGTAATTTTCGGACTATAAGCCGTGACTTTTTCCCCATTTTTCGACCTTGCGGCTTATATAACAATGCGGCTTATCTATGGACTTTTACAACTAACGGCCACTAGCGTTATACCTAAATCTATGGATTTTACCATCCACCATGTTGACGTCACATTTGCTTCAACACACAAGTACGGTAGCAGCGCGCGGGGGAATCCGGAGGCCCCCGGAAGCAGACTTCTACCGCGAGTGGTACGAGACAGAACGACAGCGAGAAAGACGGACATTAAACATAAAAAAAACCTGCGGCTTATAGTCCGGTGCGGCTTGTATATGTACAAATCATGCAATTTAGCTTTTATGGCTTATATTCAGGTGCGGCTAATAGTCCGAAAATTATGGTACAGTTATAAATAGAGATGCACCAAAATGGTATCTGGATCGGATACCGATTTCAATATTGACTTAATTAGGTGGATCGGAAATCAGTGATTTGATATCAGATATTGGAAATCCAGTCCATTAAACTTTACATGAAGCTGCTGTTTCTTTCTTCTTGCTGGTTATTTGTTAATAAAATTATAAAAAAAAAAAGTATATTAATATTTGTGTTAATTTATTAACTTATTTTAATAATGTTTATTTCAAGGCTAAAGCTTTTACTCACAACAGCTGAATTGGATTGTATTGGCTGACACGCTCAGCCCAGGTATCGGAAGTTAGAAGTTATTATATTTTCTTTCTATGAGTTTAGATAGCTGAATTATGAAAACCTAAATAAAAGCTTTATTGATAAATTAATTTGGTGTGTAAAGTCCGAATATCTCTTTTCCAGGGTCAAGAGTATCTAGTCTGGAGAAGCGATCCATTATCCTTATAGCGGCTTTTGGTGGTGCCATGAGGATTAGAGATGAAGGTCGATCATAGACGCCACATTGGGCTCAAATAAACTAGTCAATCTATCTGTGGTTAACTAAATAAATTCAAACACTACAGTTAAATTCAACTAATTTTAACAGGTTGTTTTGGATAGAATAATGCTGTATCTGTTCATTTTAAATCCTGATTGTTTTCTTTGAGACAACATGAGCATATCTGCAAATAAAATATAAAAAAATTCCCTTAGGAAAAAATTTGTTGTTCATCTTATTTTTATTTACCACAAAAAAGTAATTGCTGAATAGATTGTTTTCTTTAGTATTTAGCAATTCCACTTTGACAAAATAAGAAGAGAAAGTAACAATAACACTAAATTTTAGTATTAATACTTTAAAACATGTTAGTGAATAAATAGCATGTTTGAGGTAAATTGTGTATGTTATAGTAGGATGGTGTAAGTATTTTAATATCTGTGCACTGTATAAGAGCATAGATTTATTATCAGAGAATGAATTGCAATGGCCCAATACTGTTAGTGCCTCATTTTAAACTTTCTTATACAACTTAGAGCATCAATGCCAACAAAATACAACTAACCATATGACTGAGAGATTGTTTTCCAGAAGCTTATGTTGTTTCTATGAGGTCCATATTCGCAAATTTTCTGTTCCAAATAGAATGCCTGCATGAAAATAACTTTGGAGGTCAAGTTTTGTGTGTTTTCCCAAATGATTTATAGATCCTTTTGCTAATTCACCCATAAAATGGTCTAGTCATAAGCAATGCTAAAGATGGTACAGATTTTCTCAAATCTCGTATCACAATACTTTTTATTTACTTGATATAAATAGAAAATAAATAAAGTTTGCCATAATTGTATGGCTCCTAACAATGGAATAATCTCAAATAAATTTAAGACAAGAAAAGTCATTTGTATAGCAGATAATTTAGAAGCAATTATTAACATAATTACCTTCATGATTAAAATTATCAATTAAATCTCTATTCAAAATATAATTTTTTTATAGAAAGCTTTTAAATCAAAAACAACACGTCCTATTACTTTATTTTTTTAACATATAAAGAGATCAGTGAACACATGACTACTTCGATTTTGGTTTAACTCTTTATTTATTGATTTATTTTTTTGTCAGAAAAAAAAAGGGTGAAATAATGGATTCATTTTTCACCCTGAGCTCTTCAACTTTAGGTTTGGTTTATTTGCTTTTTTTCTTACCGCTTCGGCTGAATTGGCGGCAATTCTTCAAAACGCTCCAGTTTTCATGATCTCGATATTTGAAATGACACACACATCTAATATCTCCTGAGAAGATCCGTGTGTTTCTGGGTTTGTATTTGTTTATATTGCCTTTTATCTTGACGCATTCCTGTGCAAGACGATTGGAGGCGGCGAATGACTGTTTATCCCATTGAGGTCCCTCACTGAAAGCCTCGTCTGCTCTCTGATGGATTCCTCTTGCCTCGAAGTGGGTCACTAATACACTCAGCTGATGGAGAATTTCTTAAACAGACAGCTTAAATTAATTAATGCTTTTACACACGTAGTGTTTGTTGGTTATTTATGGTAAAAACATTAAAACATATTGTCATGCTGTCGATTTTTGCAGCCATATTGAGAAAACATACAAAACTGTGCTTATCGGGAAAATTTTATAGCTGCAGAACATATAGAGGCAAAGTTGCTTTTACAATATCAAGATGTGCAACATTAAAACCGCAAAGAACAGCTTTGATGTATTTGGTTGGCTGTTAAATTGCCATGTTATTACCCTCCGTATGGCAGTAATGTATTCAACTGTTTGGATGGACTTCCTTTGATGCTCACCTCGTGTGTGATAGCCTACAGTCTTAGGAAGAGGTGGGGCTATTTGGATAATTGGGGGAAAAAGGTAATTTATATGTAGGTTAATCATAACTGTCATTACAATATTTAAATATTTAGGGGTAAGTTATACAAAATATGTAAAACTTTTAAGAGCTTTTTTGCTTTATATTAAGTGATTTTGACAATATTAACTGACTAAATAAACCAAAAATTGTACAGGTCTCTGATATTTAAACAATTTTCTGTTTTAATAAAATGTATTTTTGTTAAATACATTTTTTTTATGAAGGCTGCAGTGAAAATGGTGTAACATTACCACTCAAATCTCAGCAGTTTTTTCTGTTGCTGGTCTTGACCATGAGCTAGCAGCATATTCTAAGATCGCCTTAACAAAGCTTGATGCTGCTCAGAGAAGCGTCTGTGTTTACTTGTGTCGCATTAGTGATGCCGGCCAGCCGCCCACCACTTCCAAACATGCAGGATTGATGAGGTCCGTGGCGCTAAAACCTTCCTGATGTCATCAGTCTGCATCTGGAAAGAGAAATCTGTGGCATATCGGCTGAAGGGCTGAATAGAATGATGTCACACGTGCAGACACATGTATGATGCCGTTTGATGGAGGAGTGTTTGTTGGGTACCTATGCCGCAGTTTGACTCTTTTCACCAAACTGGTCTTTTTTTCTATATTTTTCCCTTTCCAATCTTTCAAGTTTTCTTTTAGAACAGACAAAACATCCACTTCCATCCATAGGGGGTGAACAGCAGCCAATCAAAATGCTGCGATCGGTGTGTTTAAAACTACAGCTTAAGTCTTTGATCACCTAAATCTAAAACATTGAACAGTGAAAGCACTGCTTTTAAACAACAATTAGATGTGAACTTAGTGACAGAACGTCATAATCTGTCTTTATCTTTCAGAAATTTATTTTGAAATAGCTTTTCTTAGATGCAGTCTGAGAGTTTTAACTCTGTTGGTCTTTTAATATCTCCAGGTAGTGTTAATAACGCTGGGTTTTCCACTTGCTTCTGCAGATCAGAAGTCCACAGGGTTTGGATTGTGACTCGTACACAAGCACTGCTTGTGTTAATAAATATAAGGTGCTGATATTTGGGAAACTGTAATGAAATTTATGAACTGTGTGGTTAAATTGACCCCATGCTCTGCAGTTGTTCTAAGAAATGCCAAAAGGTGGAAAAGTAGACGGTTCGCTTAACTAACCTGAGGTAGTGCAAACAGCTGCTTAAAAACAGGAATATCTCTGGAATAAAAATACTACCAAAGCTTTCTTTTGAGATAAAAAAACTTACTTCTTTTAGGTTTGGGTAGAATTATTGCTATGCATAAATTTAGATAAAAATAGATAAATCTGGTGTTGTCCCTTTGATATAATTTAGTATATTTTAAGATCTAAAATAAACGAGAAGACTCCCTCTTGTGAGTTTAAACCTCTATTTAAACTTCATTGTATCTTTTCACATTAAAACTGGAGGGTTTTGGTTTAGTGGGATTATATTTGCCCAATCAACTCAAAATATTGCATCAATTCGAATTTTAAGGAAAATGATGCATAGTTTCCTAAAACAAATTAAAATGCTGGTTGCATTCCCCTCCTAGAATCTTTATATGAAAAACCACATTTATAAAGAATTACCTCCACTCCAGATTATGGTTTTATTCCACTACTAAACAGTTTTCTATTGCTGACATCTTTCCCTGTGAGATGCCCATCTTCTCTCACTGTAGGGTAGAAAAACTCAGTTTTTTCTATTGTGCAGAGCACCTTTCTCCACCATGTTTCCTACAAGGCCTGCTGCAAACATGGGTGCTTATTGTTGGATTCACACTCTGAATCTGGAAGCTAATATAGAAACTGATTGCATAATAATCACTTTTAACTTCCGGTTTTTTTTTCTTGTGAATTCTGAATGAGGTTTTATTTATGCAACAAAAGATCCAATTGACTGTCGGAAATTCATCTAGGATTAGATCAGCTGTTGATAGGAAAACCTTGGTTTGCATAGGATTGGATTGTAGTGTCTTAGTGTGCCACTTGCACATTTCCAAAGCTCCACAGAGTCCACACACCTAGTCAGGTCAGACGTACCTTTGGTAAACAATCATAATCCTGTAGTGATAAAAGTCTCAATAAAAGGCGTGTCTCTTGTAGTGGAACAATCCTTCAGGATACTGCTGTATAATGTCGAGTTAAGGATTATAAGGTCTTACTAATACAAATATTGAAGTAGTTTCTATTTGTGTGCATTCCCAAATCTGTGTGAGCCCCTTCTAATCTAATCTGCTAATGTGTTAGCTCTCAAGTGTTTTCAAAGCAAGATCAACACACACAGCACACTCTCCGTTTTTGTGTCCATGTGTGCTTGTTGTCACGCATGCTGGTTCGGTAACCGTTGGTAACCTGCCAAACATTAGATTATCAGTGGTGTATATCACCAAGGCGCGTTTGGACCACACACACACACACACACACACGTCGGTGTGCCTTAGCGACACTCATCACAGCTTTAGATGGGATTTAACGCGGTGCCATCTGATTGGAGGAAGCCTTGGCATTCACATGCTGAAGAAGGACCAGCGGATTTTAGTTTAGTGTATTTCATCAGGGGTTAGTCTGATAAAGATGGCTGTAAATGCAGAGTACATTTTTAACTCCAAAGTATGTTTATAGATTTTCAAATGCAGAAAAATGACCCTCCTCCTCCATTCTGATCAGCTTCCCTGTCCGTTCTTTATAAACTAACCAAACTATAATGCTGCCTCCACCGTGTTTCATCCTGACTTTGGTTTCTTTTCGCATTTGGATAAAAATGTTTCTTTCGTTTTTTTACTGTAGCATCTTCTTTCACATGCTTTCTAAATCTTTTACATGGCTTTACTCCAAACTCTTTTATTTAAAGGTATCAAAGTAAAGGAAGCTTAAAACCAATGAAAAACTTGTACTGTTTCTTCCACCTTTTTTGCATAAAATCCCAATAAACTACTCTAAGGTGTACTGCTGTAAATAATTGTGCATGGTGCCACACTTTATTGGATTGATCATCTAATTACTACATGCTGACCAGATCACCTGCTGTGAGGAAAGTGATGCATTACATGTTTTTGTCTCTCCAACAGGATTTTTCCCAGGGAATATCTTCTACAGCACATTCACCTCTACTCTCTGGCTGACCTGCAGCAGGTACGCATAAACACACAGGAGCTGTAGCCTTACCAGACAATATATTTTATATTCAGGCACTGATTAAAGACGCATCTCTTTTTTTTATTTTTTTTTATCACTGACACTTTCAGTTTAGGATCTATTAGCATAACCAAATGTGTTTTTTTTTAAGCTACATAACATAGTATTAAGAGGGATAATCTTTTAGGGACTATTTAGTTAATTTCTTATAGTCAAAATCAACTTTGGCTGAGATTACTATTCCTTTAAAAAACCCAAATGAAGCGCTAATGACGTTAGAGTTAAGATTTCACAGTTCAGACCCTGTGCCCCTTTTTTTTTGATAAAAGGGAACGTTTTGTCGTCTCCTCTGTTCCACACCACAAGGGCTGGACTTGAAAACAGTTTCCAGCGTGGAAGGATTAAAAACAACCCAGATTCTGTTGTGGTTTTACAAAGGAAAAAATAAAATCTGGCTATAATGAAAAGTCCTGGCCCATACGTGGTATGGAGGCCATCAGTAGAAATGAAGGCAAGCAGCAAAACAGATGCTGACCACAGTGTTGGTTTTGTAATTCAAAGTTGGCTGAATATTTTAACCTGGTCTGTAAAACTTTCTAGTTCCTGCCATTTTAAGAGCTTAATCAGTGGGGGGGTTGTTTCCACGCATATGCATTTTGTTGAGTTTCAAAGAATATTCTGCATACTAGTGGCCTGGCAGGGATATTACACCGTCTTTATTGAGATCACTTTAAAGCAATGTCATTTTTAATTGATAGTTGTTTGCAAAGGACCTGAGAAAACAAAATCTTTGGATGTATTTAATTAAACTTCTCACTTTGGTAAGCTTTTTAATGCTCCTTATTTGGATTATTTCATTATTTTCTATTATTTTTACTCAGACAGCATAGCTCTAAAAATTAATTTGTAGCACATTCCCCTGCAGTTACAGCCAACCCCTGATCAGAGAGTCTCCCCTTACTCAGGAAACCACTGCTTTTGGGGGAAAATCATTCTGTTTTACATATGGATTGCTAAATGAATCACAATGAACTCCTTGGTTACAATATTTATATAGATACTACTTTTACAATGTTGTGCATTCATGGCATTGATATCAATAACAGATTATTCTGCCTTAAATGTGTCTGTCTTCTCTGAAGACATTCTCTTTTCCATCGATCGGGCCTAATTCATTGATGGACTCTTAATTCTACATTAACAAGTTATTAGAACATCCAAAAGCTGTTGCTTGGTGGTTGCTCTGAACCAATACTTTTGGTAATATGGTGAATATGGCCAGTTCGATGGACCTCGGTATAGAAAGTAGATGGAGATCTTCAGATAATCTTCTGTTGTAGTAGCATAATACCAATCTGAAGAAAAAAAGAAAAAAAATCCTGCTTAAGAAATGGTTTGTAAAAAGAGTTCATATCAAGCTTTTAGAAACTTCTCATGCTAACATTGCCTGATGTTTGTTGTCTTACCTGACAGCTCTTAATGTTTCTTTCTGCTCACATTTCTGCAATTAAACAGTTTATATCACTATTTAGTTTTTGTGTGTGTGTTATATGAAAGACTCACATTTGTGTAGCAAGAACGAAGAGAAAGAAAGCATGCCCCGGCTTCCCCGCAGTCCAGAATCGAGCCGTCAAACTGAGTCGGGGGTCTGAGGAAAGCAACCAGAAATGACTGAAAAGTCCTTTTGTTTGTCATTATGTTCATTATGTAGTGGCTCGCCCCTATTTTTTTTTTCCTCTTCTTTCATCCCACTCTGACTCAGAGATCAGCCTCAGACTCTCACGGTGAAAGAGATTGGACCCCCCCCTCCATCTCTTCCACTCCCACACTCTGTGTCTCTCTGCTCCACTAATTGGTCACATTCAGAATCAACAGGCAGAAAAATAAAGCGTGACATCCCTCCATTCTTACCAACATCCCCTCAACCTCACGCACGCTCGCAGCACATGTATGCATCCCTGTTAAAACTCCACAGCTCACTCGAAGGACGCACCCCCCCCCCCAAAAAAAGCAGACATTTGCTACTAATTCCAACAACAAGAGTCTTTGATAGAGCCTGCCCTCTCTTTCTCCGTCAGAGATTCTCGAGCACTCTGCCTCTTAATTGGTTTTCCATATTAACAAGCTTGTTTCTTTTGATTCTCCTCCTGAATAAAATGACGCACTTAATCAACGTGGCTTTTTTTGTTGCAGCTCAGGGGTCAGTAAAGGCTGCATTTCTCCGACCATAGCTTGGACCACATTAGTCTTTTCACCTCCACACAAACAGCCTCCACCCATACCCCCCCTGCTCATTCTCTAAAAGCCATATGTGTTTGTCTAAGGACACTCTGCGCTGTTCCTCTGCTGGCTTCAGGGCCGGTTTCTGTGGTTTTGAGCAAAGACTAAAGTAGCCTGAAAAATGTTTGTGTGTATGCATGCAGCTCGCTTCCCACAGTGACACCCTGGCATTCCCTGTATGCCTGGCATGCCTCTCCACTCACACTTGACCAGACACACAGAGGCCTCTTAAGTAAATGTTAGGTGTTCTCAGAAAGGTTTCCACGTTCTCTCGTGGGTTCAAGTGCAGGAGGAGCCCTTTAATCATAGATGGAAAAGGAGTTATCGGGGGTCTAATGTTTTACTGTCATTTTAAAAGCAATTAATTGTCATTTCATTTTAAGGAACAGCATAAAACAAAACATTTTTCTTTATATATTAGTCTGAAAAGTGATGAAATAGGTAAAAAAGCTAAATTTCCTACTTGAAGCTGAAAGTTGCAGATGTCAGATGGTTCTGCTGTTGGTCAATTTGCAGGACATTTATAGTTTTTAAAAAAAAAAAGTATTTGGAAATGGTGTGAGGATTTAGAAGGAGGTCTGAGAAACTTAAGAAATAAAGGGAAATTGGTAAATTGCTAATGTGATGAAAGCATTTTACCATTGCCCTGACTTCTGGCCAAGATGCACTGTCATGTTTTTAGCACATCAGCCATGTACCAATAAAGGCTTTTTTTTAACCTTTTTTTCTTGAGGGCCTCAGACCTTCTTCTAAGTGTTCTACTTGATTCCTTACTGAAGAACATCCTCTCACTCCCTAGAAGCACTCCGAGCCCAGCTTCCTTGATTTCAAACGATGGGAGGAGTCTGCAGTCTGTTTGACAAAAATTTCCATCCTAAACCCCAAAGACGAGCCTCTCTCCAAGTTAGTTGAGCTTAGTCATAAATCATTAATCAGGTCAGCGACATCCCACACACCTAAGGTATGAATTTGCCTGTTTTGACGGCGTTAAACCGCTTCAGTAGCAATAGGTTAGTTTGCTCTGGTTTCTGTCTGATCTGATCTGATTTGGATGAAATCTTGGAAACTCTGTGATGTTGAAAACTAAAATCTCTCCTTTAAACATTAGCTTTTTAGCACCTACAAAAAGATTCTGAGTTCAAAATGCATCTGGAAAATCTCCAGATGCAAAAAAGTTCCATCTTAAGAAAGGTAGGCCCAAATCATAATACTTCCACTGCCGTGTCTCACAGTCTTGAGTTCTCCTCCAGTGATCCAGTGTTGTTTTTAAACATAACATTCCTTTTGTAACTACGGCCCAAAATAAGTTTCTCTCTGTAATGCTATTAGTCTTTACCTTTAGAGGGTTTTCCACTTGAAGGAAAGTGTTTATTTTTGCTCTTACTTGCTGAGGAAGTCAGAAATGGTATGTTTGTAAAGCGGATTCTACATGAGTAGGTAAATTAATTGTTTTAATTTTGTTACTACATATTGAGAAGAATAGTTAAAAGGTTGAATGCACTTAAAGCACTTAAAAATGTCCAACTGGAGGCTGAGGGGCCTTTTCTATATTGTTATTAAATGACATATCTATGGATTTATTTTGGCAGCGGTAGGATTTTTTTTCCTGTATTTAATAAAATCAGTTTGCATGTTGTAATAACCTGATGCTGCAAAGCAATTGTCTTTTAAGAAAAGGTTGACAGATTTTTAGAAACTCCCAGGTTAAACAGAGGGACAGACTCCACGTTACACACGGCAACATTCATCATGTTTTGTGTATTTTCCCTTTAATGGAGGAGAGCGTGTTATCTAAACATAGTTCACCCTGGTTCTTCCCTGCCTCGTTATCCCAGCTGGCCGTCCGGTTTCTCAATGGAGCTGCAGTGTGTGTGTGTGTGTGTGTGTGTGTGTGTGTGTGTGTGTGTGTGTGTGTGAGGGAGGGAGGGAGGGAGGAGGCCACGCTAACGGCTGTTAAACAGCAGTAATGGAGGATTAGGAGGTTTTGGAGCACAAAGACTCTGCATGTAGCAGAGAAAGAGTTTGAACTGGAGGAGGAGGAGTCTGAAGTAGAAGAGCTGAGATTGAGTGTTTAAGAGTTTTTTTTAGAAAGGGGGAAAAGGTCAAATATATGAATCAAGGTCCAGAGATTTTAGTAGTCAAATCCGGTTAATTCAGTTAATGCAACGCTTTTTGTCTGTCTGAACATTGACATTAAAAGCTTTTGTTTTATTCCAGCTGCTATTATGTTTTTTATTTGAAGGAACATCTCTAGAAAACTTAAAGTTAGTAACTGCTGTATTGGCCATTAAAGTATCTATAGTTTCAAGGGCATGAACAACACAACAAAGGTTGTAGTCGTCCATGAATGTGCCCATTCGCAATGATTAAAAATAGTAAGACTTATTGATTCAAGATGAGGTTTTTTTATTGCAATAACTCTTTAAAATAAGCATAAGCGTGTTGATGTTTTACTCCGGGGTTTCAGTTTTTTCATGACCTTGAAAGGCTGGTTGTCCAGAGTTCAGTGTTGCAGGACTTTGTTGTTAAACTTGCACAAACAAGTTCTTACTTCTACTACGATGCATTAATATGGGTGCTAGCTGCAACTCTGTCTTCCCTTCTGTCCGATGGCATTTCCACTTTAATTTTATTACTGCTACCTAAATGGCTGGAAGGAGAATTTTTTTGTCTTGTCAAATGTATTGTGGTTAAACTTGTGAGCTGAAAGTTGCATT